AGAAATATATTCCAGGTTTTATATCCAATTACACACACATGGGTTCTTTTGACTATTTTCTAAACAGTATGAAAACAGACACATGCTAAAGAATAGAAAGGATACAAAAGAACACGTAGTGCCAAGTTAGGGATTCTCTCCTGACTCCAACTAGCGGTCCCATTCTACAGGGAACTAGCAGTGGTTACACATGCATCCTTTTTTAATGGGAAAATTCTCAATCCTGCTTTACTAGCATTTCATGGATCTTTATCACATCTGCATATAGAAATCTTTTTTTTTTTTTTTTTAAACACACAGGGTCTCACTCTGTTGCGTAGGCTGGAGTGCAATAGTGCAATAAATCATAGCTCACAATAGCCTTGAACTCCTGGGCTCAAGTGATCTTCCCACCTGAGCCTCTCGAGTAGCTGGGACTATAGATGTGTACCACCATGCCCAGATAATTCTCTTGTTTTTCTGTAGAGCCAGGGTCTTGCTATGTTGCCCAGGCTGGTCTTGAGCTCCTGGCCTTAAGCCATTCTTCCACCTTAGCTTCCCAAAGAGCTGAGATTACAGGCGTGAGCCACTATGTCCAACCTCAAACCTCATTCTTTTTTTTTTTTTGTCGCCAGGCTGGAGTGCAGTGGCGCCATCTTGGCTCACAGCAACCTCTGCCTCCCTGCCTCAGCCTCCTGAGTAGTTGGGACTACAGGTGCACACCACCACACCCAGCTAATTTTGTATTTTTAGTAGAGACAGGGTTTCATCATGTTGGCCAGGATGGTCTCAATCTCTTGACCTCATGATCCACCCACCTTGGCCTTCCAAAGTGTATTCCTTTTCATTAGTGCATGATATATTCCACTGTATAAATACCATAACTATTTTAACCATTTTCCTTATTTAGTATTATTTAGATGGTTTCTGTTTTTTGCTGTCACAATGCACAATGACCAGTCTCATATGGATATCTCTGGGTATGCCTATGTTTATAAGATAAACTGTTAGACACTGAAGTATTAGATCAAAGTCTATGCATATATATATATACATAAACACACACACATATGTACATATATGTGTATAAAGCAAAACTCTGTCTCTTAAAAAGAGACACATATGTATACACATATATGTACGTGTGTGTGTATATATATATACACACATATATATATAGTTTTGTTTTGTTTTTTTGAGACAGAGTCTCGCTTTGTCACCCAGGCTGGAGTGCAGTAGCACGATCTCAGCTTACTGCAACATCCACCTCCTGGGTTCAAATGATTCTCCTGCCTCAGCCTCCCAAGTAACTGGGATTACAGGCATGTGCCACCAGACCCAGCTAATTTTTGTATTTTTAGTAGAGACAGAGTTTTGCCACATTGGCCAGGCTGGTCTTGAACTCCTGACCTCAGGGTGATCTGCCTGCCTTGCCCTCCCAAAGTGCTGGGATTACAGGCTATATTCATATTTTGATTCTGACAGATGTGGAAGATTATACTTTCCCAAGATGACCGCATCAATTTCTCTCTCATCTTACATGCTCTTTGTCTAATGTGACACTGACATTTCTCCCACCAAGAAGTGAGTTCTATGTTTCCTTCCTTTGAAGCTGTCCAGTAGAATTCAATGGAAATGATCTATGTAACTTCCAAGGAAAGGTAGTAAAATAACACACCTCTCGCCTGGCTCACTGGATGCTCACTTTTGGAGCCTAGTCACCATGTTGTGAGCCCAAGACACATGGAGACATTACAGGTAGATGCTCCTTCCAACAGCTCTATCTGTGATCACAGCAGTGAGCCAACAGCAAGCATCAACTACCCAACACGTGAACGGCTGAGGCTTCAAATGATTCTATAGCCTCCAGTCTTTACATCTCTCAGCCGAGACACCAGACTTTGTGTGGCAAGCTGTTTCTCCCACATACCTGCATTCCTGACCCAGAGAAACTGTGAGAAATGATAAATGATTACTGTTATTTCATATCCCTAATCTTCTTACTATATAGCATGTATATCCTTCCATGTTAAAAATACAATTCTACTTCATCATTTAAAATTACAGTGTAATTGGGATGCCATAAGGAGAAGAAAGAGAGAACAGAGCAGGTGAATATCCAAAGTAATAATGGCTGAGAATTTTCCAAAATTAGCGGCAGACACCAAACCTCAAATCCAGAAAGGTCAGAGAAGAACAAGCAGGATGACTACCAAAATATCTACACCTAGGCATATTATATTAAAACTTTAGAACACCAGAAGCAAAGGGAAAACCTTGAAAGGAGACAGGGAAAAAAATCTTACCTATAGAGAACAAGGATAAGAATGACAGTGGATTTTCTCATGAGCAACATGTAAACAAGAAGAGAGTGAAACAAAATATTTAAAGTGCTGAGGGAAAAAAATCACCAATGTAGAATTCAATATCCAGAGAAATTATCCTTCAACAAGGATGAGAAATAAAGCTTTCTCAGACAAACAAAAACTAAGGGAATTCATCACCAGCAGTCCTCCTTTGTCATGGGGAAGGAAAATAACATAGATCAGAAACTTGAATCTATGTGAAGACAGGCAGGAAGACAGAGAAGGAACAAATGATGATAACATAAAATCTTGTATTTTCCTTACTCTTGATTTAGAAGATAACTATTTGCTTAAATGAACAATAGTAACAGTGTACTGGGTGGTGACAGCATATGGATGAGTGAAATGAATGGCAGCAACGCCATAAGGAAGAGGGGAAGGAAGGAGGAGTGCTCTGTTATAAGACACCTCCATTACCCATGGGGCAGTATATTGTTATTTGAAGGCAGACTTCGATTAGTTGTAAATTTATATTGAAAACTATAGGGTAACCACTAAAAAAAAGTTTTTAAAGCATAATTGATATATGTACAGAGAGCAGAAAGATCCATGGTTGCCATACTGATATAAATAAATGTTTGAATAAATAAATAAATGGAGAGACGTGACAATCCTCCATACAGATTTCCAAATAATGTATGTCGATTCTTCACCTCTAGGAGTGGTGCCTATCTCGCCACGCTGTAAGTGTCGTCTTTCTAAGGAATACAGTATATGGGAAGGCAGAAAAAGAAGGTAACTGTATAGTGGAGAAACTTGACAAACAGTGCCTCAGGCAGGTGATAAAGAGGAACAGCAACAGGGATAAGTCATGTTATTAGTATGCAATTGTAGTATGATGTGATCAGACTGACACTTCATCTCTGTGACCTTCCTCCCCAAAACCCAAACCCCAGGCTAATAATGAGAAAAAGCATCACACAAATCACAATGGAGGGGCATTCTACAGAATACTCAACCAGTGCCAGGCACGGGGGCTCACACCTGGAATCCCAGCATTTTCAGAGGCCAAGGCAGGTGGATCACTTGAGGCCAGGAGTTCGAGACCAGCCCAGTCAACAAGGTGAAACCCTGTCTCTATTGAAAATTCAAAAAATGAGCAGGGCATGGTGGCACATGTCTGTAATCCCAGCTAGTCGGAGGCAGTAAATATGCTTATAGTTACTACTTTTGGGGGTTCTTTTTGAGACAAGGTCTCACTCTGTTGCCCAGGCTGGAGCGCAGTGGCACAATCATAGCTCACTTGCAGCCTCGAATTCCTGGGCTCAAGTGATCCTCCTACCTCAGCCTTCTTAGTATCTGGGACTATAGGTGCTGCCACACCCAGCTACTTTATTTTTAATTTTTTATAGAGACAAGGCCTCACTATGTTGCTCAGGTTGGTCTCAAACTTCTGGGCTCAAGCAATCCTTCTGCCTTGGCCTCCCAAAGTGCTGGGATTATAGGTGTGAGCCACTGTGCCCAGCTACTACTGTTATTAATGCTCACAGCAACTCAATGAGGTATGTATATTATTAACCCCACCAAAATTGAGGAAATGGGGTACAGAGAGATAAAATAACTTGCTCAGGGCCACATCCCTAGCTTGGATCCGAAGCCATGAAGTCAAGCTCCAGAGTCCATATTTCTAGCCTATGGGCTATTGGAAAAGGAGTCAATGAAAAATAGGCTTTGGGGTTATGGCAGAAGAGAAAATGCACAGAAGGGAGAAGACTAGGAAAGGGAGCTGGTGTGAAGGAAAGATGGGACTTCCACGTCGGAATGACAGACAGGAATGCTAGGGAAAAAGGTTAGGTCTGAGGACAGAGTTGGGGAAGATACTCAGAAAGCTGAGGGTTAAAGTAATGAAAATGGATCTCGAATGGGGAAAGAACAAGATAAAAGAGCCCAGGTAGGAAGGCTAAACTAGCAGGGAAGAAAGAGAAGAATCAGAGAAGGAAAGAGAGGCATCAATTAGACAGGTGAGAGGGACATCTGGACAGCTTAACATCCCCGCTGCGCTAGGAGGGGAAGGCCCCAGGCCTGCGTCCTCCCCACCTCTGGGCTTCAAAGCCCAAGCCATGCTGAACTCCTTCTGGGATGCCCTTAGTCTTCTCTAAGCACCAGTATCAGTCCCGGCCTCCAGCATAAACTCAGAATGCCCCCACTTCTGGGATATTTCCCCTGAACATTTAATTATGTTTCATAAGATCGATACCACGAACTCCCAGAAGATGGAAACGACAGCTTTCCTTTTTCCAACCCTGTGCTGCCCAGGATCCTGTACACAGGGCTCGGTCAATGCTGTGGAGAGTGTCTTCCAGCCCTTCCACATCTTAGCCCCAAGTGTGACTATATCCTCCGTGAAGACAAAGACAGCTTCATGCCCCATTCTCCCCACCAAGCTCCACCGCAGCCGGAAGCATATGCTCAGAACTGCCTCAAATGTTGATCACAAAGTGAGTGGGGTGAATTAAGAGTGGTCTGGGGACAAAAGAGGCACATTCCTCAGCAGCCCCTCGCTAAGCCCAAGACACTGGGAAAAACTTTTGAGGCTCCGGATTCTTCATCGTTTTAGCTGGACCAAAAAGTACCTGGACAGAGTCTGGAAACGTGTCTACCATCTCTGCATCCAGAAGCCGACGGATGAAAAAGACAAACTTGACTCACTCTCACCTGAGCGGGCAGCAGATCCACAGCCATCCCTTCCTCCTCAGTGCTCCTGCCCAGGGAGAGCAGTGTGGACACAGTGGGTCTGCAGAGGAAAAAGGTGTCAAGAGGAACCCTGGTGTCAGGAGATGGCTTGGACAGAGGAAGTTACAACCGCCCATAACGTCCATCAGGTCTCAAAAAAGCCACCCCACATAATGACGTAAACCAAGACAAGCATTCACTAGGGCAATTTGCCAACCTCCACCCCTTCTCCATGCTTCTATTTCTGCACTTCGACTCTTTAACTTCCACTTGAGGGCCTCTCAGCTACCTCTAGGCAAACTGTGACTCACCCATGGATGTCTGGAGTCCTTAGCTAGCTTTAAACTGCACGCCCTAACAGTTGCAATGAATATCCAGTTTCCTCGGGTGCCACTTTCCAGCCTAGCTAGCTGATCCTCAGCCTGACTGCCCTGCCTCGCCCTTTCCTCCCTGTGGAAGCCATGATAAACAGGCTTCCCCGCATCTCCACCCTAGTGACAGACCCCACTGCTTGCCCTGAGTGGCCCTTCCGTAGAGTGCTATGTTCTCCCCAAGAAACTGTGGGCATAATCCAACCACTCAGCTTTCCCAGCCTCTTACTACATCTTCGCCGGGACTTTACCCAAAGTAACAGGATTAAGACACTGTCCCCACCCAAGACACATGCCAGAGCTTTGCTGTCCCTCCTAAATAATACTCCACAGGTGCCGCCTCCAATGGCATCCACAGACAGAAACAGCCGTCGCTGCCCAAACACAAACCCCCGGTGGGAGGGGTGGAAACCGTGCCTGCCCCACAGAGAGCAGGGGCAGAGGCTGCCTGGGGCAGCCAGGCAAGTGTGAGGGCCTACAGGCCTGCGATCTGCTGCGACTCCTCAGGGTGCCCGTGGCATGGAGCCAACCTGGGGCTCTGCTGGGCCAGCTCCAGCGAGTGCCTCGACCAGCCCAGGGAAAGCTGCCGTGCAAGGCCTCGGTCACGCGGCGACGCGCACCTCCTCCCAGGAAGCGGTGAGTGCTTTCCCGGCAGTATTTTTAATCTTCGCATTTACAAACGTGACGGAGACTGAGAATCAGGACGTCGTGACCTGCCCAAAGTCACAACGGAAAGTAGTAGAGCCGGGAAGGGAATCCTGATCCAAGCCCCAGGCCCCAGTTACACCTGGACAATGGCCTCGCCACCCTGCCTCGGTTTCCCCCGGACAGAGCGGGAACCACCCTCTCCGTTAGCAGGGATGCGCGGGTGCGTTCGGGCGATGCGCCAGTCCGCTGCCTGGCACCGGAGCGCTCTTGGCGGGCATCAGCTACTGCTTTTATTATTTCCGTTACTGAGAAGAAAACGCACAGAAGAAAACCGCAGCATGAACAATGACAAAAGGCTGGCACCCCCACCTCAACGGCCCGGCGCACCCAGCTCACCCGGCGAGGCGCTCCCTCCGCGGGTCTCCGGCAGTCCAGGCCGCTCCCGACGCGCCCCGGACCCAGTGGCCAAGGGCCCCTAGCCGCGCAGGGCTGCTCCCAGAAGCCCAGACGAGGCTGCACGCGGCCCACTGGCTGGAGAGGCCCGGATCCACGCCGGCCCGGAAGAGGCCACTGCGAGCGCCTCGGCCCCAGGCCGGCAATTCTAGCCAAGCCGGGATGGCCCAAGCCAGGAGAACCCCCGAAAGGCCGCGAACTGTCCCCGACACCCCGCCGACCCCGGGAGAACTACCACTCCCGGCATGCCTCGGGCCCCGCGCCGACTACACTTCCCAGGGGACGCCGCGGTGCGCGCGGCGACCTCCGGGAGAGGAACCGCCTCCGCCAGCGAGAGCCCTGAAGGGCGACAGTCCGCGTAGGCGCTGCAGGGCGAGGGAGTCCGCAAGCCGCACACGAGGCAAGAGGCCTCCCGCTGCTGGCCGTGCTGCCTACAGCCCGCGCACTTGTTAGGCAAGCGGAGTGGTTTGAAAAACAAAATCCGGAATTAGATGCATTTAGGAGGATCCCTGTGCTGTCGCTCCCACCGCTGGTTGTGATTATTTTTCTGTTGATACAAAATAATTTACATAATACCCATGTGAGTGTTACCTGCATAGACTGTGTAATGATCAAGTCACAGTACTGGGTATCCATCACCTTAAGCATTTATCATTTTTATGCGTGGGTATCATTTCAAGCCCTCTCTTCTATTTACTTTGAAATATCCATAATATTATTGCTAAGTAGAGTCACCCTAGTCTGCTATTAAACATTAGAAATTATTTCTTCCATCTAACTGTATGTTTGTACCCATAACCAACCTCTCTTCATTCCCCTTCCTTTCTGGCCTTCCTGGCCTTTGGTATCTATCCTCCTGTTGTCTATGTCCATGAGATCAAGTTTTCTAACTCTCGAATATAAGTGAGAACATGGAGTACTTGTCTTTCTGTGCCTGGCTTATTTCACTTAACATAATGACCTCCAGCTCCATCCATGTTGATGTAAATACATTATTTCATTCATTTTTATGGCGGAATAGTATTCCACTGTGTCTATGTATGACATTTTCTTTATCCATTCATCTACTGCTGGACACTTAGGTTGAATCCATATCTTGGCTACTGTGAATGGTGCAGTGACAAACGTGAGGGCAGGTATCCTTTTCATACACTGATTTCTCCCCCTTTACCAGTAGTAGGGTTGCTGGATTGTATGGTAGTTCCATTTTTAGTTTTTTGAGAAATCTCCACACTGTTTTCCATAGTGGCTGTACTAATTTACATTCCCACCAATAGTGTATAAGAGTTCCCTTTTCTCCAAATCCTCACTGGCATCTGTCATTTTTTTGTTTTGTTTTGTCTTTTTAATAATAGTCATTCTAACTGGAATGAGCTTATATCTAATTAGAAGGTGTTAGTAAACAAAAGAGCATGATATTTGTATAAAAATAGATACACACACCCCCACGGAACAGAATAAGAGAACCCAGAAATCAGTGCACCCACTTATAGCCAACTGATTTTCAACAAAGGTGCCAAGAACACACAATGAGGAAAGGACTATGTCTTTAAATAAATGGTTCTGGGGAAAACTGGATAACAACATGCAGAAGAATGAAATTGGACCCCTTCTCTCTCAACATATATAAAAGTCAACTCCAGATAGATTAAAGACTTAAAGACCCCAAACTATAAAACTAATAGAAGGAAACATCGAGACAACTCTTCAGGACATTGATCTAGGCAAATATTTTTTGTTGTTGTTGCCTGTGTTTTTGAGGTCTATGGCTAAGACCTCAAAAGCACAAGCAACAAAAAGAAAAATAAAAAGAACTATATTAATCTAAAAAGTGTCTGCACAGCAAAAGAAACAACATAGTGAAGCGACAACTTCTTGAGAGAAAATATTTGTAAATTACTCATCCAACAAAGGACTAATACCCAGTATATACAAAGAATTCAAATAACCCAACAGGTTCGTGACCAGCGGGCCAGTGTGGCTAAACCCCGTCTCTACTAAAAATACAAAAATTAGCCAGGCGTGGTGGTGCATGCCTGAAACCCCAGCTACTCGGGAGGCTGAAGCAGGAGAATTGCTTGAACCTGGGAGGTGGAGGTTGCAATAAGCCCAGATCATGCCACTGTACTCCAGCCTGGGCGACAGAACGAGATGCCATCTCAAAGAAAAGACAAAACAAAAAAAAAAACACACAACAGTATACAAACAGTCCCATTAAAAATGGGCACAATGGCTCATGCCCGTAATCCCAGCACTTTGGGAGGTAGAAGTGGATGGATCACTCGTGCCCAGGAGTTCGAAAGCAGCCTCAGCAACATAGTGAAATCTTGTCTTTACAAAAAATAAACAAAATTAGCCAGGCATGCCAGTGCGGGCCTGTAGTCCCAGCTACTCAGGAGGCTGAGTGCAGAGGATTGCTTGAGCCCAGAGGCTGAGGCTGCAGTGAGCAATGATAGCACCACTGCACTCCAGCCAAGGTGACAGAGTGAGACCCTGCCTCAAAAAAAAAAAAAAAAAAAATAGACAAAGGATATGAATAGATATTTCTCAAAAAGACATTCAAATGGCCAACAGGTATGTGAAAAATGTTCATTACTAAACATCAGGGAAATGCAAATCAAAACCACAAGATAGTTATGTTATTTTAAATTATTTTAATGTGTACCATACACAGAAGATGATGTATGCATAGGCACAGTTTTTGTTTGTTTTTATTTATTTTTTTTGAGATGGAGTCTCACTCTGTCACCAGGCTGGAATGCAGCGGCGTGCCCTTGGCTCACTGCAACCTCCCCCTCCTAGATTCAAGCAATTCTCCTGCCTCAGCCTCCCGAGTAGCTGGGACTACAGGCACGCACCACCACACCCAGCTAATTTTTGTATTTTTAGTAAGATGGGGTTTCACCATGTTGGCCAGGATGGTCTTGATCTCTTGACCTCATGATCCACCCATCTCAGCCTCCCAAAGTGCTGGGATTACAGGCATAAGCCACCGTGCCCGGCCCACAGTTTAATAATAATAAAACAAATACCCACATACCCAACACTTGGGTTACAAAAGAGAAATTTACCCCAAATTTGGAAGCCTTGTTCACAGTGCTCCCAAGTCATTTTCCTGAGTTCCTTTCAGCATTCTTTGTTTTGTTTGATAATTACTCCACATGCATGTGTCCCTAAACATTATTTTTGCAACATTTTAAATCTTAACCTGCTATATACATACAATATACAATATGTATGTATATAAAGGTAATCTGCTATATACATACAATATACAATTGTATATTTTCAATTGTATATTATATTCAATATACAATATGTATGTGTATAGTAGATATAAAGTTATATGTATGTATATAGCAGATATATTTATGCATAAATTTATATAAAGATTTATGCTTATATATGTATCGTGTGTGTGTATATATGTTCAACACAAACACTTTTAGATTAGTCTAGCTTGATACATGCAAAGTTCATTCATTTTCATTACTGTATAGGATTTCATTATTGATTCATTCAACAACAACAATTATATTGAACACTTATCCTGTGCCTGACATTGTGCTAGATTCTAGAAATACACCAGTAGGCAAAACTGGCAAAACCTGTGCACAAATGCAGCTTGAATTCTACTGGAGGAGAGAGAGGAAAGATAATAAGAGGAGTAAATATGTTTTGCGACAGAGATGAGTGTGAAGGCAACCAAAACACTTCACTCCAAAATATACTTCTCTGACGTATCTTGAGATGGCTATTCAGAGAGCTTGCAGACAGGAATAGTCCTGAAAAGCAGTCTTTTGTAGAGGAGACTTGCATCTCTAGAGGAAATGAAGCGAAGTAAACAACAGAGGTGAATAGGCTTTCTCTGAGGCTCTCCCCTTGTCCAGATCTGGGAAAGATTAACTGAGAGTCTGATACCTTTGAAAATCCGGTGCAGAAACTTTAACCATGGGCTACCATCTATTCTTAGGCTGCTACCTGTGCAGCTTCATTTGCATAATGAGTCTACCTTTTCTTCAGGTCTTTCCTCTTCTCTCCCTCCTATAACCTGCCTTAGCCATGACCCAAGCCCCTGTTCTTCCTGTAACTTCAAGATGGTATAAAAATATCCACTATCTTGCCTTTCTTTGAGTTTTTGTATTTTGTATCACTCCTGTGCTTGTATGAACTTTAATAAAATTTGTATGCCTTTTTTTTCCTGTTAAGCTATGTATCATTTTGTTTTATAGAGTCAAATTATCAAAACTTCAGGGGAAAAATTTAAACTTCCCTATAAGTGCAAACAAGAATTTAAAAAGGGAACAGGAACTTGGAGGGTGGGAGAATTTGCAATTTTTTTTTTTTTTTTTTTTTTTGAGACAGAGTCTCGCTCTGTCACCCAGCCTGGAGTGCAGTGGCTGGATCTCAGCTCACTGCAAGCTCCGCCTCCCGGGTTTACGCCATTCTCCTGCCTCAGCCTCCCGAGTAGCTGGGACTACAGGCACCCACCACCTCGCCTGGCTAGTTTTTCGTATTTTTTAGTAGAGACGGGGTTTCACCGTGTTAGCCAGGATGGTCTCGATCTCCTGACCTCGCGATCCACCCGCCTCGGCCTCCCAAAGTGCTGGGATTACAGGCTTGAGCCACCGCACCTGGCCGAGAGTTTGTGATTTTCTTGAATGGTTAAGAAACATTTCATTGAGAAGGTGACATTTGAAGAAAGACCCTCAGAAGATGAGGGATGGGCCAATGTAAGTGTCTGTGGGAAGTCTTTCTGGCAGAATGAAAAGCGAACTCGAATACCCTGAGGTGGGAGCATGCCTGGCTTACTGAAGGAACAAGAAGGAACTGTTGCTGAAGCAGAAAGAACAGGGAGAGAACAGTAGGAGATCCTAGGCAAGGGGGCAGAATGTGGAGGTTCTTAATGGATCTTATGTCAGTGGATTTCACTATGAATGAGAGGAGAATGCTCTGAGCAGCAGAGAATGATAAAGACTCCCTCCTTGATCAAACTTGAGTCAGGCCGTTCTGAGCCCTCTTTTCCACTAGGCCTTGACCTTAGCCCTCATCCTGTCCTGCCCAGCCCAGTCTTCGCAAACAGTCTTGATAAGTCAGTTTAGCAAGAATCCCCCAATTCTTGACATCTATCTGATAATTCTTCATATCTGACAAGAGTTTCTCATCCCCCACCTGTGATGTGTTAGCAAGAATGCTGCGAAGCCAGCTTAGCAAGAATTCCCTTGCCTTTGATGGCTC